AGTTATTGGGTTATTTCTACGAGTCTTTTTGGAGTGCATAACACCACCGGAAGTAGGTTTTACATAGTACTCGCTTTCTTCTGAACTGCTATGTTCCATGTGGGATATTTCTAGCACTATATGCGCACACTGCATGCGCACACTCGCACATATTTTTATCTTCAGATTATTTATTTAAAAGAATCAAGGAAAGATGCTAGTTGATGTAAACAAGAGAATTAATATTCTCTTGATGTAAAATAATACAATTAACAACTGAAATAAAATTTCAATGAGTCAAACCTTTTTTTGCTGATGTATTAAAGTAAACAGAAACGCTTATGTACAATCGTCAACATATTTAGATTTTTCAGAAGACTCATAGGTTGAGCCGGATGCATCGAAAAAAACTCTTCATTAAAATTCAAGACAAGAGTCAGATTCAAAGTCAAAGTCACGGTGGTATTCAGCAAAAAAATCTTATAAACTCGATCGAGCGAAGTTTTATTAGAACAGTTGTATTTGCTAAGTGACTTCTTAAAGTGCTTATAAGACTTTGCACGATATTTTCAGAATTGATTCTTTACATAGTGAATAGTTGATTGTGAAAATATTTCGTCATTTGAATGTTGGGTCTTTGAGATACGAAGGTTTATATTTCCAATATGTTAATGACTATGACGTAACATAGATAGATCAACCAAGAACAATACCTTTCCTTACACAAACAAAATTTTAATGTGCTCCCTTGCCTGCAGTCGAGTTACGCGCCTATCGCGTAAGTTTAACTCACACAATTTTCTTAATGACATCGAGTTACGCGCACTGCGTGACAACATCAATTTGGGTGTGGTCGAGCGCGTAACTCGGTCGATTATCTCGTATATTCAGTTTTGAGTTCTTAAGTCGAATGATTCCTAAAATAAGGCACTCAGCCCGACTTTTAAATTGAAAACAGAGAAATCGTTAGCAAATAGAAATAATCTTACCAGATAAATTGAGTATTGAAAATGTGAAATCGAGCGGACCACTTTGAATCCTTYGAATGTTAACAAGCATAAGAAGGGCACAAGGATCCCAATACGAACAATAACTATAAGTATAATCAATGGGCGATTGGTTTGATATAGTAGTTGCCTCAATGGTAGATTGGCTTGGTTTGTTTGCATCATGGTGCGAAGACCAGCGAGCTCTATCAGATCATAGTTAATGGAGCGGAATGGTTGGAAAACCCTATTTTCTGTGTTTTTTTYCCGACTTTATCCATTATTATATGACGTTGACAGTGCACAGATAAGGAAAAGTTGCTCCGTTTGTTCATAGTATTCGGGAATATAGGAGTTTTTAACCCTAAAAAACGTTCTAAAATACTTTATTATTTGTTAATTAATCCTACATGATTAATACAAATTGTTTATTGAAAAAGAAATTGCCTTTTTTCATGCTTTCTTATTTATCATCTAGTAATTTAACTGTATCTGCGCGGAAATATTTATCCGCATAGTTTGTGGTCATCGAATAAAAGTTTTCACTTTCAAAATGTTCGTGCATGAAATAATAAGGAAATGAGTATTTTCAGCCATACTTGCTTTGGTTCATTGTGCACCTTCAGTAACACGTGATAGTAATCAATCAATCAATCAATCAATCAATCAATCAATCTTTATTGTGCTCAATAGTTTACAGATATAAATAATGTTAGTTGAAATAGTACGGTTCAACATCAAACGCAAAACAATAGTTTTGTTCTATGGAGTTTCCAAACCATTCCGCTCCATTAAATATGATCAGATAGAAAAGTCAATGACAACGTCTTGGTATCTGGGATAATTTGTCTTTCAAAGGATCTACGGTGACGGTGTTCCAGCATTCGATTGGCAAACTCTGAGCGTATAACATCGCTGAAAAACTCATAAAAGAACACTGTCTTCCTGATGAATGCTTCCAGTTTTGTGTCCCGGCTTACTCGGAGGAACGACAAGAGGGGCTCTGGGGCGAATCATCGTGAGGCAGGCAGTGACTAGCCTGCGTCACATCCGGAATTTTCTTCGTAAATACTGTCTGCGAAAC